GGGGGGGGGGGGGAGGAGGCATTGGGCCAGGTAATGGATAATGCTTAAGTGAACTAGGTTAAAAAAGTGAGGATAGGTCCTTTTAATCACGTGCAACCATATGGCAGTCCCTCCAAAATAAGGGTATATTTGTACCATAGTATAACGGTAGGGTCCAAAAATAACCACATAGTGAAACAGATGGTATATTTAAACCATTTTCAATAGTATAGGGTATATGTAGCCAGGTGCCCTAAATTTCCCCTTGTCCCCAAGGTACTCGAAAGGACAGATTAAAATGGGCCTATAGTAAACAGTTTTACCTTACTTTTCTGCAAGGGGTTATTACTACATTTGAACTCATCTCCTAGTCACATAGCGACAACTCTTACCATTACGCTTAGACTCCCTTCTTATTTTGACTAGTATAAATTAACAAAATGAACATCCTCATCGAAATACAAGTTTAATTAGTCTGAATTTGAATACATGAAAAAAGCCAGAATTATAAATAATATTTTTAAAAAAATGGTGTCCAATTTTTTGGATGTTCCATAATAAAAAAAAAGTTATAGAAATTGAGGTAGATACTTTAAAAAACTTCATATTGCATGCAATAACTCCCAAACAATTTTATGTTTATTGCATAGCCTTGAATAAAACTCATTGTAAGAATATAAGATTCTTAATTTAAGAACAAAGTTGCATATTACCAATTAAAAGCTTGGATTCAATTGCAATAAAGACCGAAGAGGCATGTAAGATTAACAAGGGAAGATTTGATACTAACAAGGAAAAGGAACTCCTAAGAATTTCTTGTACGAATGCGTGCCTTTAAACTAGTATTGCGGCAAAATTCACTTTGTAGAAGTCAAATTTCAATTATTCGAGCATGACTTTTTTTTTAAATTCAATAACTTTCTTCAAAAAGAAGAAATGTTTCATAAAGAAGTCATTAATTTTACATATATAACTAAAAGAGCACCAAGAAAGTTCAATGTATGAACATGGGATAGACTAAGAGAGTACTATAGGGCGTTAATCTACACACTTTTATTAAGTTTCCAAATGTCAAATTTCACACTAAGAGATCATCATTTCACAGTTTGATGGTAGATGGCCTCATAATAATTAGGCCAGAATATTATCAACTCAGACCTCCAACACCAGCACTGTGCTTAGCCTCGAGCCGTAGAATCAGCCGCTGATTCTTGGGTCTGGATAGACTGCCTACGTCACATCCCTTGGGTTGCAGCTCTTCCCCCATCCTATGAGAATGCGAGATGCTTCGTGCATCGAGCTGCCCTTTTTATTCTTTTTTTTTTGAGAATTTCCTCTAAGATGGTTTCAATTTCCTCTAAGTGTTATGGGACACCTTGAGACCATAATATTGTACATCTTCAGCCAACTTAAAAGGTGTTTATGTCAATAGCAATAAGAACCAATGTTCCTGAATAGTGTTATGGGACACCTTGACACTCTAATATTGTACATCTTCAGCCGTTAAACCAGATAGACCTGCTTTTATGAATTGTTTTGGATGATAGAGAAGGAATGAGATTCCTGACTGGGAGGCTTGGAATATCATACTAATCAAGTACTTCTGAAATTATCCATTTTTAGTAAATGAGTATACTTGATTTCCTAGAAAACCAGAGCTAGAACTTCTTTTCGCCCTTCAGTTAGTTCTTCTCCCTAGTTTTTAATTGCTGAAGATAGCTCCAATATCCCAAACATAAGAAGATTGGAATTTAGCAATTCCACATGACAATTACAGTTCGATCAACCGAACATACAGTAAAACATCATAGCCAAAGAGAAGATGATTCCTTCTTCAAGCAAGCTAAAATTATCACTTTGTCCTCATAACACTATAGCTTAAGAATGAAAGTATAAATAGCACCAAACTGAGTCTACAACAGATGAAAAAACATGATTTCAAAAATACCATTTCCCCTGGAGACAACATTAGAATTGGGAGAAGATGCCATCAAAAGAATATTATAAATGTTAGAATATTTATGTTAATATATATAATTAGTTAGTTCTAGTCCCTTATTTCTAGTTATGTATACATATAAATAGGGCTCATTGTAACATACAACGTCAACAATAGATTTTTCTCCCGTGTATTCTCACATGGTATCAAAGCATCGTTGAGAAAAGATCGTTGTGCGTCGGAGGAGGAGGAGGCTTTTTTAATTAAATAGGTTGGCAGCCCAGTAATACAAAGAAGCGCTCTCTTCACATCGTCGCTTCTCGCTTTTTATTGGGAAGCGTGCGCTTTTGAATACCTGCTATGCTTCAGCTAACAGAAGCGTTCAACTGGTCACCTCACTTCGCTTCCCGCTTTAAGCGAGGAAGCGCCCACTTTTTACAAACACTGACGGTGACCTTGAGGATGAGGTTTATATGGAGCAACCACCTTGTTTTGTTGCTCGGGGGAGTCTAGTGGCCTTGTATGTCGGTTGCGTCGGTCCCTCTATGGTCTAAAGTAGTCTCCTTGAGCCTAGTTTGGTAAGTTCAGCATAGTTATTCAGGAGTTTGGCATGACTCGTAGTGAAGCTGATTACTCTGTGTTTTATTGGCATTCTACTTCGAATCTCTGTATTTATCTGGTCGTTTATGTTGACGATATTACTATTACCGACAATGATCAAGATGGTATTACTAAGTTGAAGCAGCATCTCTTTCAGCACCTTCAGACTAAGGATTTGGGCGGATTGAAGTATTTTCTGGGTATTGAGGTCGCTCAGTCTAGCTCAGGTATTGTGATCTCACAACGGAAGTATGCCTTAGACATTCTTGAGGAGACATGAATGACAGGTTGTTCTGCTGACACTCCAATGAATCCGAATTCTAAACTTCTGCCATGACATGGGGAGCCTCTTAGCGATCCTGCAAGATATAGGTGGCTGGTTGGTAAATTAAATTACCTCACTCTGACAAGACCTGACATTTCCTTTCCTGTGAGTGTAGTGAGTCAGTTTATGGATTCTCTTGTGATAGTCATTAGGATGCAGTAGTCCACATTCTTCGGTATATAATATCATCTCCAGGTAAAGGTTTATTGTTTGAGGATCGAGGCCATGAGCAAATCGCTGGATACTCAGATGTTGATTGGGTAGGATCACCTTCTGATAGACGTTCTACGTTTGGATATTGTATCTTAGTAGGAGAAAATTTGGTATCTTGAAAGAGCAAGAAAAAGCAGAATAACGAGCAATGGCTATAGCGACATGTGAGCTAATTTGGATCAAACAGTTGCTCAAGGAGTTGAAATTTGGTGAGATCAGCCAGATGAAACTTGTGTGTGATAATCAAGATGATCTATATATTGCGTCAAATCCAGTGTTCCATGAGAGAACTAAACACATTGAGACTACTATCACTTTGTCAGAGAAAAGATACTCTCGGGAGATATTGCTAAAAAGTTTGTAAAGTCAAATGATCAACTTGTAGATATTTTCATCAAATCCCTCACTGGTCCTCGTATTAGCTACATATGTAACAAGCTCGGTAAATATGATTTACATGTACCAGGTTGAGGGGAGTGTTAGAATATATAAAAATATATATCATTAGTTCTAGTCCCTTATGTAATCAGAGTAGGTTATGCATTATGTATACATATAAATAGGGCTCATTGTAACATAGAATGTCAATAATAGATTTTTCTCCCCCGTGTATTCTCACAATAAACAAATAACAGTACGCAAAATTAAGCATCATAGGCTTACACCGCTCTTCACAACTGACCAAGACTAATAAAGACAGAAAACTAATTGAGGAAGATCATAATGAACATACTGTCACACCTCCTTTTTTACTACACCCCCGGAAGAGGGTATAAAGGGAGTTTTTCCAATTAAAGGACAATCGAAACAGAATTTATTTATTTAAAGATTCAAAGGCGCCACTTGGCATAATTTATGGTGTCCCAAGTCACCGGTTCAAATCCCGAATCGAGGAAAAGATTGACTCTGTTTAATAGTCCGCGCACCAGAAATTTGAGTAAGGAATTCTGTTAACCCGGGAGAAGGTGTTAGGCATTCCCGAGTTCCGTGGTTCCAGCACGGTCGCTTAATTTTTATATCCGGCTTAATTATCTGATTTTAGAAACACGTTTTAACCTATGATGCCATTTTAAACCTTTAACCACTTTTAATCAATTTTAAAAGAAGATTGAACGTCGTTTAAAACACGTCTTCGAATCGCGCCACATGAAATGCACCCGCAATCCTAAACATATTTTGTTCAACGTTTTAAGATTTGATTTGGGTCACATGAAATGCACACCCGGGTTTAGGAAGGTAATATTATTAACATACGCGCCTAAAGCAACTAACGCATTTGCAGCTTTGCGAGGGCCATGGAAAATTCGCTAAATGGCGCGCCTCGAATTCTAAGTATTTTAAGGAAAAATAATTAAACGAGGGCCAAGCATTTGAGATTTTTATTTGGCTTGGCATGCCTCAATTCTAGATTCGAAAAGAAGGCTGATCTAATTAACTAAAAGACCTAAAGAGGTTCGCATCTTTTTTTCTGAAGCTAGGGTTCAATGAGCTTAATACTTAGTGGGCTGATAGTAAAAACTGATACCTTGACTATTTGATAAGACTAAGGCCAACAACAAGCCTTATAGCCTCAAACAGGCCAGACCCGACTAGATACACAATACGTGAAGGGCCCAGGAATATGCCAAAGAAACGACAATGTAGCATAACAAGCCCAAGAGGCCCATCTTGATGTACTGCCTGTTGCATGCCCATGCTAACCCCAAACTGATGACAGGGAAAATATGGCGTCACCAAAAATATCCAAGACTATCATGATTTAACAACCTGCTGCAGTTAAACAAAACAATAAACTGAATTTGAAATTCTCAATTAAAGGTACCAAAAC